GCCAGCATGCCCCTCCTGGAAATGGCCAGCAAACCCCTGAGGCCCCGTGGGGTGGGGGGGGAGGCAAGGGTCTGCGTGCGCTGCTCCTGCCTGCAAGCACACCCCCGCAGCTCCCATTGGCTGGGAACGGAGAGCTGTGGCCAATGGGAGCTGTGGGGGCAGTGCCTGCAGAGGGAGGCAGCACATGGAACCATGTGCCTCCCCCAGGGGCCGCAGAAGCCCGTTGTCCCCTTCCGGGAGCGGTGTGGCCACATGGTGCACTACAGGCTGGCAGGGTGGCCCGGCTCATGATGGGGAGGATGTGCTGATGTGCCTGAGTGGGGCTGGGACAGGCAGGGAGCCTGCCTTAGCCCCGCTGCGCCGCCGACTGGGAGCCGCCTGAGGTAAGTGTCCCCCTCCCGGAGCCAGCACCCCATTACCCCCTCCTGCACCCCAACCCCTGCCTCAGCCCAGTGAAAGTGAGTGAGGGTGCAGGAGAGCAAGCGACATGGGAGGGAGGGGGGATGGAGTGAGCGGGGCAGGGGCAGATCCTGCCCTTAAATTCAAAAAGTGATCTTGGGCGTAAAAAGGTTGGAGACCACTGTATTAGAGCTAAAAGCTTGTTTGCAGCTATTCAGAGGTGAATATAACAAATGAATATATCTGTGCTTACAAATCTAAAATGTCAGCCAGAAATGACAAGTAATACAAACCTAGAATTTCAATAGAACAAACTGGAGTAATTAGGCAGGGTTAATAAACAGTGTTCAGTTCTCAATTGTTCATAGGTTGTTGGGTTTTTTTTAAACAATTTTTAAACAGCAGCATCGCTTGGAACAGATTCAGCACATTCAGACAAATTCATTTACTTCGATAACTGCTTTTGTGGCAGCTAATGGGCCCTATTCCCACTCTGAAGTCATCTTGATTTGAGATTATTACAAACCTCTGGTTCCCTAGCTAACTTAACTTGGCTGCCTTCTGCACCTATTGCGTTTTTCTATTGTTGTACAGGGTAATGTTAATAGTTCTGCTTTTTGAATATATATGTGCAATATGGCTGAGTTACAGTTGCCATGGAAACCATTAGTTTGAATTTCCTATTTTAGTGATGTAGTGAGGAGGCCAATGTGTAATCACTTGTGTTTGACTGTGGCGGTATCTGACTGTATGTATCTAATCTCTCTGGATTACTGCACTAGCACCTATTTTGAGATATATTCTTGCTGCTTCACTAATTGTAATGTATTATTTTTAATTATGTTAAAGTCCTGTATGGTTTTGTCTGAAAGGAGGGTGGTTTGGAGTGGAATGGGGGAAGCAGCATTTCTAACTCATCTGACAATCTGCAGAGGCTTGTGTCTCTTTTGCATGCTACTGACCACCTTTCTGCAATAGCCTCTGTCAAAATACCATAAAGATTACAGGAAAGATTCAGAGTTTGCAGTCCAGGGGAGTGGAAACTGCAGCTGCTTTAAGACATCTTTGCACCCTCTTGATCCTGGTCTGTTAAGGGGGCTGGAGAGTCCCTCAGCATAATTTAGACAATTCCTCTAAATTACAGCAGCCTCCCTAGGCTGTCCTATGGGTTAACTTGCAATGCTTCCTGGAATTTTCAGTGTTGTCTGATGCAGCTTCTCCCACCTTCAGAAAACCACCTGCACAGGGACACATAAGGGATCATGGGAGGACAGCTTTATGGCTGCATTCCTCAATTCTTGCACTGGGGAATCCTCCCCATGACAAATATGGGACTTATGGGCCCCTTTACACTTCTCTGGCCAGCACTTTTATGTAACATAAAGTGTCTAGAGCAGAGGGAAGGATCTTGCCCTAGATGGGGGGAGGGGGCAGAAGCAAGATAGGTATTTAACAATTTTATTTAAAAGCAAGAGTTTATTTTAAATCTTAAACTCTTTAATTTCCCCCAGTCAAACTCTTGTTTTCAAAGAGGCTGTAGTAAAAAGGCAGTCAGCAGCAGTGGGGAGTGATTTAAATGACTGATTTGCATTGCTTAACTTTTTAAAATCTAGCTGAAGCTTTGTAAAACTAATTTCAAAATTTGCTATGGCAAATTAAAATTAAAATGTATAACAAACTACATTCTAAATGATTGATTGTTTATTTTCTTTGAATGTCAGTGCTGTAAGGGTTTAAAAATTATTTACATTTTACAAATGCTATTGGCAAAATATAAAATATAAAGTTAAAGCTCTGCTCCTTCTAACACTTAAGCTGGTATGTAACTGTCTACCTGAATGATCAAATTGACTTCAGTGGGACTGCTGGTGCTTAAAGTTAAGCATGTGCATAAGTGTTTGCAGCATCGCAGATAAAATTTATTTTTATTACACACTTCCTAGGGGGACAAAATCTTTGTCTCATCAAAATAAAATTGCTTCAGTGTTAGCAATGAAAGTTATTTAGACTTTAACAATGAGTGACAGGGTTGGTGAGATTAGATTTTTATTGGTAAATGTTGATAAATGTCATTTCCACAGTACACACACAAACTGCAAAAAAAAATTTCCATCAATAATGATCTAAATTTACAAATAGGCCAAGTAAGAAAAATGCTGCTTGAGAAATTAGAGTTTGATTTGAGAATATTTACTTTGTATATTTTGACATGATGTTGACAATTTGTGTTTTAACAGTTAGAGCTTTAACTTTTTTAATTGCTGCATCTACTGTAATTAAGTAATTGTCTGACCCCTCTCCCATAATTTCCCATGACTGAAAATTTAGATAAATGAAAATCGAAAAAAATGCTTAAAAATAAAAATTGATATTCTCCATTGAAATTATCAAAAAATAAAAATTGAATTCTGTCACATCTAGTTATTGTGAACTCTTCAGGCACAGAGGCCAAAATTGTCAAGCCGTATTTTGAGGACCTAATGGTAGTATTTTCAAAAGTACCTATGTGACTTGGGAGCACAAATCCCATTGACTTCAAACTAAAAACCCTGATGGAGGAGTACAGCCTGATTATGTAAAGTATTTCAGCTTTCTTGACTTGTGGAAGTTCAATATATACAGGAAAGTGGTGTTGGTTGCAATTATAGCTGGCACTGTTTGCTTATCAATCTTGTATTTGTGTATGTGATATTCTTCCAGTAGGTATGTTAGAGACTCTGGACTTTTCTTCTTCAGCACAGATGAGCATTTTAAGTGTGGAAAAAAAAAACACTATGTAAAATCTGGAATTCTACTAATAATTAGGAAACCAATTAAGGAACCAGGTACAGAACACCCACTTCAGCAATTTAAGGCTATAAAATAGGAAGAAAGTAAAGAATTAACAACATGAAAACAAATTTTTGAAATCGTGATTATTTTTTTTAAATCCATCCTGGTCACTAGCAGCTAACACCTCTCATTAGTTTAATATATTGGATGTTATATGAGAATTAAAAGAGGTATGCACCCTTTAGCTAAAGCTGCCTTATGGCCACTAAGTTCCTGAAGTTTTCAACAGGTACCCTCTTCCTCCCCCGCCCCCAAGAAAACCTTTTAAACTTGAAAATTGTCTTTACTTAAACTTTTAACCTCCCCCAACCTTTAACAACAGAAATGGTTCAATGCCTTCTTATAGAAATATAGTAATGTATATGTTGTCTTTTAAATCAAAGCACGAGGGTACTTCAAATAGGACTATAATGGATATCCTGGTTGGACAGTTGAAGGCACAAATTGTCTTATGTAACTATATCTTTTTATTAGTTAGACAATGCAGTTGCTGAAAAGGAAGTGCTAATGTTTTATGTCACTCTAAAAATCAATAACAATTGACTTAGAGCATAAGTGTTCGCATTCTTTAACAAACGTTTGGCATTTAAAATTAGTCGTAGCCTAGAAATAGTTAAGAAACAGGGAATTTGTGAGTGACCTATATGAAAGTGTGAAATAAAATTATCTTAATTCAGATAAGACACTTAATATTCCTGAACTGTTTCAAAAAAGACCTCTGTTACTCATGGCTGTCTAAGAACAAATGTTTAAGTGTAAAGAGAAACCTAATGACAGGTGAACAAGAAGTCAGAATATTTGGGGTTCAGTACTTAGTATATGCAACTAAATATAGAGAAATACTGACTTACTAGAGATTTAAATTGATCTCTAGTCACCCTTGCAATGCACAAGTTATATGTAGATAGCTATTTACTGAAAATCATGTCCTTTATGTCTAATAGCAATCATCCATGTATCCCATTGACCTCAGTGAGAGCTGTGGATGCTCAGCTGTTATGAAAACCAGGCCTGAAGAATGCTGAGCAGATGAGGAATTTTAGCTGTACAAGTGGGGTGAAGAAATGAGTGAATCTTCATGCTTAAGTGTAGGTCTTATGGCGTTCGTTAGTGCAATGAGAAACTGTGTGAACTTGGCCAGTGCACCTACTCCTGACCTCTGCTACCGCAACTGTTCTAGCAGTGGATCTCTTCTGAGCAGAGCCTGCCAGTAAAAATGATAGACTTGAGGAGTGAAAAGGCTCTATAATGGTTTCTTATATGCACTCCCAGCTGTTCCTCAGCTCCCATCATTTCTCTGCTTCCTCACTTCCCTTCTGCATTGGTTTTTGACTCAAAGAAAACAAGGAGAGAGTTTCACATCAGCATACAGCAGCATCAAGAAAGGGAAGAGGAGCTTCAGGTGCAGGTGAAACCCGAGAAAACACTAGAGTAGTAGGTTGGTGCTGCAAGGAAGCTCTACAAAGATCTAAATCTTGACTGTGACCAAATGAAAAGTGTGAGTGCTGATACGAGCACTTCATCCTTTCTTTTAATGTATGTGTTGTGCAATGAGGTATTGTAATTTGTACCCTGGCTAGTTTCTGTCATTCAGCTATATAACGGATTGATCTTTCATGTGAATCTGACCTTCAGAGTATCAGTATAAACTTGATAACTCCACACTAAGTGCCTTAAATTACACCAGAACAGAGATTTAATTAACACTGCGGTGGTCTTTTTTCTGAAAATAAATACAAATGAATTTACTATTTCCTGTTCTATTTCAGGGCATTTGATGTGGAACTTCTTTACATAGCTCAGCTCTTGAAAATACCAGTAGCAGAGGTTGCTGTCAACTGGACTGAAATTGATGGTGAGTAAATTGCTTACCCACCTCCCATCCCCTTGAGTGTCAGTCCAGAAAGCAATACCTTTGTATCATCCTTTAGTGACACACTTTTTTCCAAACTTGAGGACCTGTTGCATTGACCCTTCTCCTCATACAGCCATCCAGTTATAAAAGACCTGAAGGCAGTAAGGCTGGCCAGCTTCCCCTGATGGCTCCACTTCCAATACTTCCTTTCTCCAGCCCTTTCTTGTGATGGCTCCAAAACTCTCACCTCTCCCATGTACAGGCTCCCCTAGGTCACCCTCTTTGCTTCAGGTTTCTCACAGTGCCTTTTGCTTTCCAGCTTGTAGGGAACTCTGCTATAAGATACAGAGAGAGCATATTCTACCTAGCATGATGTCTAGCCCTATTGAAGAAGGGTTAGTTAAATTGTTTGCAAAAAGAAAAGGAGTACTTGTGGCACCTTAGAGACTAACCAATTTATTTGAGCATAAGCTTTCATGAGCTACAGCTCACTTCATCGGATGCATACTGTGGAAAATACAGAAGATGTTCTTATAAATACAAACCATGAAAAAATGGGTGTTTACCACTACAAAATGTTTTCTCTCCCCCCACCCCACTCTCCTGCTGGTAATAGCTTATCTAAAGTGATCACTCTCCTTACAATGTGTATGATAATCAAGTTGGGCCATTTCCAGCACAAATCCAGGTTTTCTCCCCACCCCACCCCCAAACCCACTCTCCTGTTGGTAATAGCTTATCTAAAGTGATCACTCTCCTTACAATGTGTATGATAATCAAGGTGGGCCATTTCCAGCACAAATCCAGGGTTTAACAAGAATGTCTGAGGAAAGGGGGGGGAGCGGGGGCGGGCTGGGGAAATAGGTTACCTTGCATAATGACTTAGCCACTCCCAGTCTCTATTCAAGCCTAAGTTAATTGTGTCCAATTTGCAAATGAATTCTAATTCAACAGTCTCTCGCTGGAGTCTGGTTTTGAAGTTTTTCTGTTGTAATATCGCAACTTTCATGTCTGTAATCGTGTGACCAGAGAGATTGAAGTGTTCTCCGACTGGTTTATGAATGTTATAATTCTTGACATCTGATTTGTGTCCATTTATTCTTTTACGTAGAGACTGTCCAGTTTGACCAATGTACATGGCAGAGGGGCATTGCTGGCACATATCACATTGGTAGATGTGCAGGTGAACGAGCCTCTGATAGTGTGGCTGATGTTATTAGGCCCTGTGATGGTGTCCCCTGAATAGATATGTGGGCACAGTTGGCAACGGGCTTTGTTGCAAGGATAGGTTCCTGGGTTAGTGGTTCTGTTGTGTGGTATGTGGTTGCTGGTGAGTATTTGCTTCAGGTTGGGGGGCTGTCTGTAGGCAAGGACTGGCCTGTCTCCCAAGATTTGTGAGAGTGTTGGGTCATCCTTCAGGATAGGTTGTAGGGTTTGTGCTAGTGCTTTTAAGATTGTGTCTTGAGTGATTTTACGAAAGAAAAACAAATGCATGCTTTCTTCCAATTACCTTTGCTCAGGTTCTAGGTCTAGTTGCCTGAACAAAGTGTGATTTATTGTGCAGCAGTAAATTTGTGTACATATGCCACTGTTGCGTATGTTGAGCCACCATCTATTTCTGACCTAGAATGTCCCACTCTCAGTATAATTTCAAATATAATTTAAATTATAAAGCATTAACTTTTCAAATGGAAATGTTTATTAAAGTCAAGGGCTAAATCATGGTGCTGAATAAGCTAACAATGCAGATGTTCTCTGGTTAAATCTATCTTACTGATGTTAACTTTATTGAAGGTGAACACTTGTTTAAACATTGTCCCTCTGATTTTTTTGTATCTTTTATTAACCATAGGTTCAAAACTGGTCCCCTTTTGGAGCTGGCTGCAGATGGGCAGGGATCTTCTTTTTATACGACTGAGATATTTGACTGGTGCCTGGCGTCTCGAAACAAGCAAATCTAATTAGGTTATTTACATTCTCCAAATGCATTATTACACATAATGGAGCATGAGAACTATTTCAAGTGAACTAAAATGTTGAAGAAATCTGAGGTTACTCTTCATTGCTGCTGTTATGTACTGCATTTTTGCAATGTACGTATATTTTATAAAATTGCCGATAGTCAAATGTTTCTATAATCTGAAAGAAAAAGCATCTTTAAACAACATACGTTTTGATCCCAGCATCTGTTTTTTCTTTTGTTCTGTAGCAGCTTTAAAGGTTCTTGCATAAATTCACTCAGATTAAATAAACAAATCTGCTTTTGTCTCACTGTGCACTTGGAATTCCTGTTAATGCACATTAAAAGGAGCCCATATCCCATGAAGTGCAATATTGTGGATGACCAAAGCCCTTTTTGATTCTGTGTATTTGAACACACATATATGTTGTGATTTGGAATTGGTAATAGTGGTATTAAATTACTTCTATGGATTTAGGCTATTATTTTAAATCTTTAAATGGTATGGCTGATATTAATGGATTTTACTGCGTTATACAACGAATGCGCTATTTTCCTGAGAACTTGTTCAGTAATCTCATAAAATTCCAATTGTAATCTGTCTTGACCTGCAATTTAGAACACTTAAGTCTGAGATCTTACTTCATATTCACTCCCCATGGACCATAACATTTCCAAAAGAAAGCACATTTAATTTTAAAATGCTTTCTTTTACAATTAGATACAATCTGGCCATTCAGGTGAATATTATATGTACTAGACTGGGAGCCTCAAGAACTGTTGTACAGAGGCCAGAGAGAAAGTAGTTTAATACTAACAGACTGACACCTTGGAGTTGCTGGGGGTCGTGTGCGTTAAGGATGTTTGGTTTTTAGCTGTGAAGGTCATGAGCTTTCAGCTTTAAGGGCTGGGCTTTTTACTGATAAAGTATCTCAACCTATCATGGAGCATAACTTTAAAATGGCAAATGTCAAAAAGACTCATTTGTGATTGCCAAACAAGTAAACCAGTTTCTTGAACCTACCATAAAGGGTAATATGTTTCACACTTTGTTAAGAAGTTGTTCCCATGAGCTTGTTTAAAGCAAAGAAAATGGAGTGTACAACCAGTTGTACTTTCAGATATGTTAAGTTGGAATCTGTCTTTTCTCCTTTTACACGTTGTTATACACTTCTAGGGTTTGGTTACCTCAGTTTTCTGGAGGATGAAGTAGTACTGAAATAAAATCTCAATGAACATGTTCAGTTTTTGTTTTATAGTCTTCACTTCCTTTGGTGTTCTGGTCCATATAGATCTGTCACTTCTGCTGAATGAGTTATGTGACTGGTTGCTGCATTAACCAGAATAAAGTGATAACTGCTCACTTGTGGTAAGTGTTCTATGCACTACTGATGTGATAGGCAGGGCTGGTAATATCACCTGTTAAGGTTGTTTGATGTTTCCCATTATAAGATCATGTTTTCAGAAGCTTATAACTTTCTCAAACTAACCATTTGGGCTGCAGTTTTCCATGCAAGGTGTCTGCCTCAGTCTGATTTTGAAAACTTCAACTGAATATTTTTGGCAGCTTCTTAGAAAGAGGCTAGGGGAATTCAGGTGTTGGGTTTTTCCTTTAAACCAAGGAAACTACACACAAAATACCTGCATTAAAAGAATATTAGTAAGCAATCCTTCCAGATTAAATATCACAGGATTTGTCGGTAAAAACCATTATATTAGATTATGGAAATTACTATGCATTTGAGCAACACTGATCATAAATCTGTGTATAACAAAATTAAAATGAGAGGCTTAAATAATCAGATCTCATCATGAAGCTGGCAAAATTTCATTTCTCCAAAATTTTCTGCAGAACTTTAATCAATATCTTCAGGTTTTGAATCATTATCCAAATGTTTCTTTTACTGAAAATAGTTTTCAGTAATGAAGATTTCAGTAAACGAAAAACAGTGATTTTGAAAACGTTGGACAAAAATTGATAAATGTGGCAGAAAGTTTTGCAAAAGAGAATTTTTAATAAAAAGCTGTCAACTTTATCAAAAGTTTTTTTCACTGGCCATTTTCTGTAGAAAAATAGCCTTTCAAAAAGAAAACAATAAATTCTTTGTTAAATTTTGACAAGCCCTAAAATTCATCTAATTCTTTTACTCAGGATTCTTCCAGTGTTACTGGATAATATGAAGCAATGGTGGAGCAGAGACTCCATCATTAAGAATGTGTATAGATATACATTGTAATGCAACTTCACAATAAACTCTTTTCCCTGACATTTTCCATATGTTGTCTTTTAGCACACTCCCCTTAAATATAATCTGACAAGACATTTGGAACATGACTGCTGCAGGAAAAAAGCCTGAGTAGTAATTCTGTTCTGTTAATAAAATATTCTCAATTTTTTTAGTAGCTTGACCTGGAAATTACAAATTTGGTCTGAAAAAAGTTCATATGCAGCATTTTTGGAACAGTTGGAGAGTTAATTTTGAAACTGTTCACTACAGTTGGTCTGTCTTGAGGGTGCCACACATTTTCTGAAGTCCACAAAGCTCCTGGTGGAGTCTGAAGTCTACATGCTCTCCTGCAGAGAGGAGATAGGGATTTAATTGCTAAACCGTTCCAAATGTGGCTCAGCAGAGGCAAGAGACTCCAAGAACGCCTATTACAAGTGAGTAACTGCCTTTTTATTGTGTTTGACAATAAAATGACATAATTCTGATACTTCCTGGGAGTTTGTTTATTCCAGTAAAGAACAGTGATTCACTTTGATCTTTTTTGATAGATAACCTTTTCTGCAGATACACAGTACATCACAGGCCAAATCCATCACTGGTATAACTCCTGAATTTAGCTCTATATTCTCAGTCCATGGGCTCAATGACACTGCAGCATTATTTCAGGGCAGTGCACATGGGCACAAGTAATAAAGCAATTTCAATCCATTTGGAATGGGCAGAATGAACAAAATGATGAAGTGTCAGCAACGAAAGGCAGGAGATGGCTCCAGTTCATTCTGCAGAACTGTATTCAATATACCAGTTGCAGAATTCAAAACAAATATCTGAGGACATTCCCATACCAACTGGAAACAAATGCCCAGATTAGTTTTACAACTAGTTTTTACACAGGTGCGATGCAAATTTAAACTGAATTAATGTTTGAAAAGTACAGAACATCCTTAGCTGTGGCATACACACCTTCAATATCTATTCTTGAATCCCTACACTAGTATTGCTTCTACCCATAATTATCAATTTACCATGTACCCAAGAGTGTGCTAGATGTTCACAGACAGAAAACTTACAATCTACAAATAGATCAAATACAGGCAAGAGAATGGGAGAACATAATTTTTCTTTATCCCAATGGTTATTTACTACATATATTTTAACATTTGTCCCTTAGCCTTTGTTTAACCTTGTCATATTAAGCCCCAGCCTCTCTTTCTTACTGTTGCTATTTTTTTTCAATATTATATAAAATAAAACATACATTTGAGATCATATCCTGGCAGCCACCCTCACCTGTGAATCTATTTAAAAGATTGATCGCTGGAAGGGGAAATAGAACATGTATAGCTCTACTGTACATTATTCTACATTTCACCATTTTTATTACCATGAACCATTTCTGCCTTCTATTTGTAAGTATAGTTATGTGATTGTCAAGCTGCTCATTTAGATATGTTTAGACAATTATCCTTTTCTGATATTTTTTTAAGCCCCCTTGCGTTCAAGCATTCTGCAAACCCTAGTGCTTGCATTCGAGCACTCTGCAAATCCATAGTAATATTTCTGGGGCTAAGAACAAATCCGTTTTTAACTTGTCAATATAGTGTGCCAGATTTTTAGCAGGCTCCCAATCCTTTCAGCAACTTCATACATAAGCATTTATTTACATGCTGTAAATGAGATAAATGCTGAGTGCATGCCTGCCTTTTCCAAAGTGTGCAAGTGTTTCATTTCCCTGAAACAGAGATGAACTGTAGTGAATGTTCCAGTAATAAGCCTGCATACTTGCCATAGGGTAGCCCATTCAGTTTAAAGGAGCATTAGTGGGTTCAGCTTCACTTGGGGTCTCACCCATCTCACCAAAGACATTAACTTGATCAGAATAACGTTTCATCTTTTAAATGCACAATGCTGCAGTGCAAAAGAGATATTTTGAAAGATGTTTGATATTGCAGTCCTGGTAACATTTTCATTGTTCTTAGGGTGGTTTTGCCAATAATTTTCTGGGGAAATCTGTTCAATAACTTATTTTCTAACATTATTATCTGCAGATTTTCAAAGATGGGTGTCTAAAATTAGCCTCCTTATTTAGGCACCTTAACGAGTGACCCTATTTTTCAAACATGCTGAGCACCCTGCAGCAGACACTGAAGACCATGAGAGCAGCTTCATGCTCAGCACCTTTGAAAATCAGGTTACTTGTTTAGGACTGATGTGAATTTAAGAGCCACTTTGAAAATCTTGGGCATTGGGTTCCCAAATGACTTTCTCAGCTTTCAGTGTCCATATAGCGAACACGTCAGACAAAATTTGAACTGATGAAACAACATGCAAAACAGATAAACGGGCGTAGTCACCTATGTTGTTTAATAATTCGGGAAGTTTCACTTTTGTCTTTGGCATGTATCCGTGCATAAAAATATTTGATGCACCATTTACAGTAACTATACAAAAGATGACCTGAAGAAGAGCTCTGATTAAGCTCCAAAGCTTCTCTCATTAACAGAAGTTGGTCCAATAAAAGATATTACCTCACCCACCTTTTCTCACTTACAGTAAAGTTAGTTGCAGAGGAACCTTGCTAGACCATTACTGTGAGGGGCTTTGCAGAGCAAGTAGTATTATACCCCTTTTCATCAGTTCTCTAGTCTGTCTGAAGCAAATTGTTCAGACAGTCCAGTTAGTACTAGCTCTACCAAGAGGTTTGAATATAACTTGATCCAGTTACTAGTGCTTCAACTCATGTGGTTTTTACATATAGTTGAGTCTAAAACAAAAAATCACAGTGAACTGAATGTATTGCCTTTTTGGTATTTAAAGTAACAACAAAAATTATTTTCCAAAATTTTGCCTGAGCAAGATGAGATGACACATTCCTTAAAGCATTAGGGGTAACTGGCAGTTCATTATTAACCTTGCTAGCAATAGTGAGGCTGAACTGATGTGAACAATGGTGCGAAATTTTTGAAAAATTCCCATGTAGAGGGTGCTCTTCCTGAGTTTCCTCATCTGGAAAACGTTTACCTACCTCATTCATGTGGTGTTTGGTGATCCTGGAATGAAAGATACTACTAAAGAGTTTGAGTGGCAGCCGTGTTAGTCTGTATCAGCAAAAAGAACAAGGAGTACTTGTGGCACCTTAGATACGAACACATTTATTTGGGCATAAGCTTATACTAAAGAGTAATTAGCAGAGAAACTATGCTGTCTTTATCAGCTTTGCCTTCCCTCACACCACACAAAGAAACAGCTGAAAAGAGAGCAAGTTTCCCTGCCTAAAAAAAAAACACTTATCTGAGTCCCAAAGAAGGTCTAACACATGAGCCATTAAGAAACCTTTCAGTCTCACTTCAAGAGAGTATCAGCTTCCTAAAATTCCTATCTCCACTGGCACCGATGGTCTCACTTCCAACACCTTGTATGTATCCCACTGGTAGTCCCAGCAGTATTACATATCATTCCAGCGGCCCAGCAGGAGGGAAAGCGTCCACCCGTGATGCCAGTTGGTCCTGGCTTATTCCTGAGCCCAAAGATGCTAGTAATGGGACAGAAGAGCATCTACCTGGGCTTAGGCAGCACTGACTAGCTGCAGTTCTAGTGGTACAGTTACTGGATGTGTGTAAGTAAAATTTGGGTGTTTAGGGGATAGCTTAAAAAACAGCCCCTTTAGCGATTAGAGCTTTTATAAATGGCAAAGAGTTTCATTCTAAATTCTAAGCCCCATTACATATAAATATGCTTAGAAGGATTAGATTTTTATCGATAAAAGTCAATAAACATTGATTTCACTGTACACAGACTGACGAAAAAATATTTTCATCAATAATAATTGAAATTTACAGCTAGGCACGGGAAGAAAAATGCTGCTTGAGAACTTTATTAGAGTTTGATTTAAGGCTATTTATTTTGTGTATTTTGATATGTGATGTTGACAATGTGTTATAAAGCTTTCAATTTTTACATCTCAGTGTCTGCTGTCATTAAATAATTATTGTCTGACACCTCCCCCCCATAATTTC